AGGTGGTTAGATCTTGAGGACTCTGCTCTCGTGAATGGATTAATATTGTCATCAAGGGACTTGGTTATTGGTTATCTCAGGAGTGGGTTCCCATTCAGTCACATTCTGACACAATAAGATGACCCTCACCAGCTGTATCCTGTCCATCTTAGACTTCCCAGCCTCCAGAACCATAAATCATAAACAATAAATTCCTATTGTTTATAATTTACCCAGTCTGTGGTATCTGTATTATAGCAGTGGAATACAGTCTTAAGACCCTACCTGCTAAGAGGCATTCCTACCCCAGCATCAGCAGCACTGTGCTGCCACGGGTCTACTTGCCCAGAGTCCCCTTCACCATCACAGGTTTCTCAGTCCTCTCCATTCAAGGCTAAAGAAGCCACAGGTTGCCTTCCAGTTCAGCCGCAGCTCAGAAAAAGCAGCTTCTCTTAAACCCGGAGCACTCTCAGTCCTCCTGCTAACCACTTCCTCCTGCCTGCTTCTCTTTCAGATGGGTACGCCTTTTCTCAAGAAGAACATGGAGCTGTTTCTCAGGAAGAAATAGTGCGTTCTTATGATACCACCCAAAGGAAACAGAGGAAGAAATAAGATACAACTTCTCCTGATGGATCCGAGGGAAGAGATGTGGTTTGTGGCACCAGTGTTAACCCATCTTTGTTAGAAGAGACTGGCGACAGCAGCCAAATCACCAGAAAACACATTTCTGTGGCCTTAGCCAACCAGTTTGTTAGTTGTTTATTCCCTCGCAAACCTGGAGTAGAGACCGCAGGGGAAGCCATTTTTTTCCCTCCCCATTTGTCTGCAGTGCTTGGCCTAACTTCTGTTTACGTTGTTATAAAGCATTCAACTGTGCTCCGTGAGGTGTGAAATTAAAAACATTATGTTCCACCGATATTTAAACATCAGTACTAGTTGTTCTGGGAGGAGGGGAAGGGGGTTTTATGTTGCGTGAGAGATCCATCTTGGTAATTGGAACAGGGCGCCCTTACTTCCTGTTTGGTTAACTCACAGATTGCATCCAACGTGGGCAGCATGCAAACTTCACTTTAGGCAGGTTGCTCACCCGCTTTCATTCCTATTTTGTTTGTATGAAGTTGGCATAAACTTCTTGATTGCAATGAAATCATAAAATGTCTATATCTGGGAGGTAAATTTAAGAACCTTTATTTGAACCTCTTGGCCACATTCCCATCAGGACGAACCAGTCAGTGTACCATGGACTCTTCTACACCCTTGCCAGGTGCCAGCTGACTGAGCCTACRATTGCTGTCCCAGGTGTCCCTTATCCTCAGACCTTCTGCATAGCTGGCCGCTGGGCTTGGTGCATGGCAGCTGGTGGGCAGCTGACCCTAATCAGTAATTTTCCTTGTCCCGCTGCAGTTCTGACTTTTTGTTCTATAACGAAACAAAAACATAGCTCTTCTGAATATATCTTAGATTTCTATCTGCCTCTTTCTGACAAGGGGGAATCCCACAGATCACAACGATGGTCAAACCCCTTGCCCCGGTCAGCCTCTGAGTACTCACTCATTTCCCAATTTCCAACCACCAAGYCTTTGGCAACTGCTTCAATTAGAATCAATGCTCGTTTCCTTGAGAGTTCAGAGCACATTTTAGACTCACTGTTGGGAAACAAATGAGTTTATAAGACATCTGTACAGTGAAGGGACACTGTACAGCTGTAGAATCAAAGAATTCACAAACCCAGAGGGATAGTGTAGGACAGTGAAGGAGAGGAGTGAGGGAGACCCCACCTGTCCGCGGAAGGCGCTGAAGGGCGTACTAATGTGGGAGGCAGACACAGTGGACATGTCCACCGGATCTTCTCTAGAGTCACAGCCTGAGGCCCCTACAGTTGTCAGGATCAGCCTCCCCTGTGTGGGAGCTGAAGCATGACCTTGCCATTCAGTTTAATTTTTAAAAAATTCCAAACATTTCAATGAAATACCTGTATTTGAAACATTGACAGGATTTCCTTTTTCTGTTGTGGTGGTGCTAGGGAGTGAACCCAGGACCTTGTGCATGTGAGGCAAGCACTCTACCCACTGAGCTATATCCCCAGCCCATGATTTCCCTTTTTTTGTCCAATCAGTTTTAGACACAGGGGCCTTCCTAAATATAGTGCCCTGAATTCTAAGACAAGGAAGGGAAGGCTCAGTCACTGACTCCCCAGCTGCAGTCCCACATCCCGAATTGGCAGGAGACCTGGGTACCTCCAGGTATGTGTGTGAGAACATGGGAGCCCTCCACAAATGGCAGGCTGGGAGGCACGTTCTCTCTCTCCTCTTTGCTTTGGTTGCCAAACCAGATTTTAGGATGGCTTCAGSTAAATACTTCTGGGTAACTAGTACTGGTTAAAATGCACCGTTCCTCTGGGGATGGTTGTACTGACCTAGAAAATAAAACAATAGCACACTTTTCTTTCTAACTATTACTGGAACATTCACAACTCATGAACATGGAAAAAAAAAAACAGAATAAATTGCATTGATGAAGAAAACGAATCCTCCTTTATGAGATGACCAGAATACCGAGATGCATTTAACAGGGGAGGCTCAGAAAGTTACCATTCCTTACTTCCTAAGGTGAACAAAACATTTTTAAATATCAGAGCACCCAGCCAGTTGAATTTTTCAAGGACTGACCTGCAGGAACGACAGCAGGAAATTGGCTTCCAATTAACACAACGAACCAGGTGTATATCTTTATTGCACACCCAAAAAGATGGTAGCTGAAATACAGAAAAGGAAGGAAAGTTGGAATTCAGTGTTCATTAGGCATCTTCACTATTTGGTTTCATTTGGGAACTAAACCCATTTGGAAAGATTGAGTTAAAATTCAATTTTTGTCAAACACTTAGCCCTTTCTTGAATTTGAAGTCTTGTTTATGTTTATAGGGTTTGAGGGTTTTTATTTAATTTTTTTACATTAAAGTACAGTCATATTTTCTGGGATTGAAGTCGCATTTCCTCCTTTTTTGAGAAGTAGACTAAACAATCTTTGCAATGATGAGGTATGCACACGGAAGAAAACATTTCTAGAAGGGATGCCTTTCTATTTATTCTCTGTGTGATTAAGCTTTCTTACAGCCGAATGACTAAATTGGGTTTCTAGGCAAGGCAGCTGTCAAGAGGTGTGATGTATAATATTTAGCTGGGGCCAACTCAGGGGCTGTGTCATTTGTCCTATCTTTAAATTGAGGTCAGAGTGTCACACACAACCCCTCTCCGAGGAGCCGAGTGAGCTGGACAAGGTTGCATATGCTGCCTGTCAGATCAGTGGAAATGTCACATGGGACTTGTCACTCTCCACACAGTAAGTGACTCTCAGACTAGTAGGTCAGACTTGGTCAGCAACATGGGGCCTTAGGCTGAGCTGGCAGAACCCAGTCAGGCCAACCCCTAGGCGAGTGCTATATATTTAGTGACTGTGTTGTTGGAGGCTGTGTCCTGTTCTGGCTAACTCTGCAAACAAGTGAGACCAGCCATCCTCTAAAATGAGTTCTTGGTTCCTCTGCATGGGCACACACTTGCAACAGTGGCTGTAGAAAAAAACACATTGTAAAGGGAAGGGGGGAACAGAAAGAACCACCTCTCTCTGCTTGGCATTCTGGATTCACTTGGCACGGCTGATGGCGTGGGCTTTGTAAGAATTTGGGGAGTGTAGCTTATGTCTGTCCTGACTCATTGCAGACTATTCCAGACTTCTTGACCAGTATTATTTTCTCCCATCTCCCTATGTATATGTGCATACACTAAAACAAAAATGTGATGCCTCTTTTGGATCAGTATCATATAAAACCTGTCCGAGAAAGGCGATGGTGTTTTGTGAACATTTTTAGAGAAAAAAATGTGAATCTGTGGTTCAGCCGAGCTCGGCTGAGAATTCTGTTGACATTTCCTTTTCCTTGACAAGGATTCAGGTCTGCTACAGGAATCTGATAGTGAAACTCAGTAATAACATTTTAAGAAGCAGTATATGATGGGGGGAAAAGTGAGTCTAGGTAACTAATGTCTGAAAATGCCTATGGACATAAAAGATTATAGCCTTTAAAATTGAATTTTCTTAAAAATYGTCTTGGTCAGCTTCTGAGTACAAATGGAGTTATAATCTCCTTTTGTTATAACAATGACTCTCTACCTTTTTATAAGCATAAGAGTGAGAATTTCTATCATCTGTCCATGTTCCTAGGGATTTATATCTTGAACCATAAGTCAAATAGAATGTTTGCAAGACTTTGCTGTAGGAGAAGGTAGTCTTTAGTTTTGAACATGTGAAAGGACTACACATATTTCAGCCAGGGTTTGAATTACTGCCTAGGGTCATTGTCCCAAAGTAATTCAAGGAGTGATTTAGCTTCAGCATTTGAAATGTAGCCTTCATCTCCTGGGATCCATAAAATATGTGAGCAGGGAAACCAGCTAAGCAGAACTTGAAATAATAACTTGGCAAAGGACTGAGTTTATCAGGTCAAATCAAAAGACAGCATCCCCTCTCATCTCATAAACACTTTCTTTATGCAAATGTTTAAATTAGTGAACATGATAACAATGGAGAGAGTTAAAAGCCTCCTCCCCTCCAAAAAAGAGTGTGCATCAATTGGCTTTGTTGGTGATTCTTCATTGGTTTGAGGTAGTTATTATTAACTCATGCTAGCCATTTCCCACCTTGAAGAGCATGGACAGCAGCTAGGTGGGTTTCTGATGGATCATAGTAACAAGGGCCTAAAACCCCCACAATGACACTATTAAGTACTCTTAAAAGAAATAGACTAGGAACATTCAATTTGATGTATTGTGCCCTTCATTTATTCATTMTTTTTTCTCAGCATCTCAAGTTGTTCAGCAATACACATTTCCATTCCACTTACATGAGTTTACGTGAGCTCATTGGATATCAAACTTCTGACCAGTGCTTTGTTCAAAGCTCTCTGTCAGTTTGCTAGGTATGAGTGATTTCTTCAGTGGGAAGAAAAGGGTATGCAACCCACATAAATCTAAGTGGTCAGACATTACAAACAAATGGAAGCAGAAAAGAGGGGTGAGCTCACCAGTTACCCCACCCCCTGTATGATCCACAGCCATTAACCTTAGATGAACACCTCGGCTTTCCGGATGGAGGGGAGACAAAAGGGTGATTCTTTTTGCACACCAGTCTGGCTCCCTTTCAAATGACAATCTCTTGGTCTAGCTGCTTTTGAGATACCTACTCTGCTCTCTCTCCCAGGCGTCAGACCAAGAAAAACACGCTCAAAGATTAGCCCATAGGCGTTTCTTCTGACCTGGCTAAAGAAAGAAAGGAGACCTGTTTGTTTTAAAAGTCAGGAACAAAATGTCAGGTGGCTGTGATTTATGGCAGAAATAGAAGAAAGTTGAAATAATAGCACTATCCAAATAAGCTTATCAAGAGCCTTATTTAGGTAAGCTCTTCCCTGCAAAAGCGAAAAAGCCCGGAAGGTTCTGGACCCACTTGCCATAAGATTGGATCCACTTGTGTTCCTTGAGAAGCTTGGTATGTGGATACAGGTGAAACACTTACCACCAATAGAAAAACAGAAAACCTAGCCAGTCGTGGAGTTTCTTTCCTTCCAACTAGAAGCCTGCACCATATCCCTTAAATGTATACAATTATTATGTGTCAATTTTTTTTTTCCAAAAAAAGAGATTGCTTTGGGGCTAGGGGCATAGCTCAGAGGTAGAGGCCTTGCCTAGCATGAGTAAGACCCTGGGTTCCATCCCCAGCAGCACAAATAAAAAAAAAAAWTTTTTTTAAGTTTTTGCAACAGTAAAGACATGTTTGTTTTTTCACTAATAAAATGGATTAAGGACTGAAACTTCTGCTTGCCTCTCCTGCGTCTTCTCCCATGTTGTCAGTGATGGCCAAATCCAGGGGTGTGT